TGTAGGGTTGTTGGTCGTCCAGGAGAGCTTGTGCCTTCTCGTTGTAATCAACGCGGTTCATCACAACTGTTGCTCTTCCTTTGTCGGTCTAGGTATTCAGCTGACAGATTCATCGGGGAGTGAGTTCAAGTCGGCAAGCGCGCACGCTAGCGCTTATACAAACATAGATCGAAAATTTACAATAAAACTTGTTTATCCTTCCCAAAGAGTTTATTTCTTTCGAAATATGATGTTAGGGGCTCTCACCGATCGTTTTTACGGAAGTCACGCGTTCCGTTGTGCTTTACGGGCGTACCCTATAGAGCCCAACCAGTAGACGCACAGCGGCGTACGATATAGGCAGAATGGTATTGCCGACAAAGAACGATCGGTGAGCGCCCCTTACTATTGTATATTCCCAATCGAAACCGACAGGACAACGGGCTCGTGACCCAGTGGTTAGAGGCGTGGACTTCCAGAAATAAGCTCTCTGGAAAAGACAAACATGTTTTATTGTAAATTTTCGACTTTGGTTCCCCAAGTCGTCCTCAGACGTGAAGTGTGCGAAACAGTTAACATTTAAATATGTATCACCCATCTCTGGTTTTCTCGCAGAAGTCACGATGCAGAAATTAGACGCTATCGCCTTACCACTAGTTAACCCCACATTATGGGTACGATATGTTGATGACACGTTTTTCATTGTTAAAAGTGATCAACTGGAGATACTCCACAATATTATTAACTCAAAACTTCCATGAATCACATTCACACTCGAGAAAGAGGCTGACAACGAACTCCCGTTTCTTGATGTCCTCGTACAGAGAAAGCCTGACATGACATTTCACACTTCGGTTTACGGCAAGGAAACCTACGCGGAAATTCTTCTACATTACGGGAGCAATCACCCGATCTACGGAGTGCCGTGAACAGCCTCCCTAAACAAGCAAGAACTCACTGCTCTGACAATAAAACATATCAAACAGAACTGAATTACTTGTTCAAACTGTTTTCCCAGAATGGGTATCCTAGATATTTTGCACACCGATGCGTGAGACGACAGGAGTTAAGAGAAAAAGACAGCTGTCTGTTTGTCTTTGTCTGTCCCGTCGCGCCAGCCAACCTAATCTGCCGATTTCACTTTCCCCTCTGTTCATTTCGTCTGACGATGGGTCGTTGTCTCGATTTCCCGGACGAGCCCTCTCCTTTTATTATATCGTCTCGGAATGCATACTACCTCCAAGGCACAACGGGACAAGAATGTTCCGTTACCTGATCAGTGGGCGCCCAACTATCATCATATATATGGTAGATGTGAACTCGTGAAATTTCAACTGAAATTCTGAAATGCGTTTTCGTCTCGAAAAGCTTGCTTAAATAGGGTTGTAATAATTATTAGCGTACAGCACACTCCCAAAATAAATTAATTATTCCAGGATACCGGCTTTTGAACGAACTTATTTTCGGCCGCCGCAAAAACTACATCTGTAAAAATGACCACTTAAGAAGTAGGAATTTTTCTCATTTACCTCTGATGTTTTCACAAATTCGAATTTGTTTCATTGAAAACATGCATAAAAGTATTCATTCATCCACTCATTTGGTAGAAAATTGCGTCTTCTTCAAATTTTATACCTGAAGGAAGGGTATAACTCGTTTTCAAAAAAGTTTCTAATTATTCGGTCATTCAACGCGGACACCGCTGCGGCTGAGCTGGGTGCATGGAACGCAAGGCTGGGCTGAGCTGTGCAACGACGTGCTGGACAGAGTCAGCAGTGAAACGACATTCGGTGGACGAAAAACTGCAGCGGTACGTGAAAGTACCTGAGATGGATTGCGTGTATGTCGACCGACCGAATGTCAGGACGGACGTGTCCCATGATCCCGGAGGACAGAGAAGTAGTCGGACGGACCAGAAGATCAAGTAGGAAGAGGCGGACGCATACTAACTAGCAGTGAGTAAAGGATCTCATCCAAAAACGACTGCGTCTTCCATGGGCCTCTGCGATTATGTCAGTCATGGTGGTCGAGACCTAATGAATTATATTAATAAAAACACGTCGACTGTTCATCGGAAGGACTTCTTGTCTCTAATTCTTGAGCACGCACTAGAGAGCGGTCACCACTTCTTTTGGCGCGATGCTGCAGTGATCGCCACGACCAGCGCAAAACAGGCAGTATCAGCTGTCATGTTGATCCGAACATCAGCTACGAAGGTCTGCATGCACGGCGCACTGGGCTCCTGTGTCCATTCCAGTTCAACAAATGCTAATCCACCGCAGCCATCATCCTCCCTTCCATTCCAGTAAAACGTCAACCTAATCCCCGTCCCTTACGCCAATGACCTACTCCGCTCCCCCCTCACCGCTTAGTGCGCGAACTATTTGCGGAACTGAAGCCCTCCTTGCGCACCAACGCAGCAATTTCCCATGTGCCTGTTTCATTTTCTCTAGCGGCGAGTTGGTGTCACCAACTTGGATATGTATGAAAACGACTGAACATTTTCCGAAAACCATCCTCTATTTCATAGGTGCAAATGTGGGTGTATGAAAAAAGACGACAGGACGAGTTCTAAATGACTTCGGGTGCATCACCAGTTTGTTACGTAACACCTGGCAAGCCGGTGGTCGGTCGGTGTGCCGCTGGCGGAGTTCCCAGTTGTATGTTGCTCCTACTCGACTTGGCCCAAAACCAGGTCACATGACTCGCTTAAAACGGCCATGTGGTTAAACATCAGTCATACGATATAGTTTGTTCTCTGGCCTAACAACAAGTTCGTGTTCATGCATCCGGGTCTGAGCCGATTTGCGACTTACACCAACACAACTGGCCTCGCCAGAATTACATTTAACTCGATAAGCGGGCTAAGGTATGCAACAGAAAAACAAAAGCGAATGACAGAACGAAGACTAGTCGGGTGATCACGCAACCATTGCCAACCAACCAAAACAAACTACACACAGCAGCCGCGCACTGGTAGGCTTTGCGTTAGACGCCTACTTTGAACGCGCGTAAGTCGAAGCCACAAAGGATGATGTGGCTGGAGCAGATTTGCGTCAACAAAACAACCAATAGGACGAACAGGCAGTAAGCAACATCCGAGGTCGAAAGGGAGCCAGACCGACCGTCGCAAACAACGAGGCCTGCCCCTGCCACACGAGATGAGCCCATCAGTAACTTGTGCGTAAATCTGTTTATTGCGAGTCAGACTTTCGAGGCATCTGCCGGATTCCGTCTCTATCTCCTCACACATACACACACATTGTTGGCAAGGCAACAGACGTTGGGCGTGGACTCAGGGGTTGATAAAATTAATCAATCCTTATACAGTCGTGAGCAGAGCGGCCCAGAACTATCAGTACGATAACATCAGTGTCGCATTAGGGAGTGGAAATACAGCGGTCCGCTGCAGGCAGTTGAGTGGTTCCAATTAGCAGTAAGCTAATTATGCGCTTCGATTGGACGTTAAAGTCGGGCCTAGGAAACGTTCAATGATAACGACGGCAGGACGACTGTTAACAGAAAATCTGAATGCGCATACTAGCAAGTAAAAGTCACCTTCATGATTAAAGTAGTAAGAGCCGCAGGAGAACACTTTTCATAGTTAGGGGCTCTGACGCAGTAAGTTGCCGAGTTTAGGCACAAAGTGTAGAGATCCCACGGATTTGTTTCGTAGTGAGCACTATCTAATCTCTGAGCCACTCCACCCGGTCAATCCTCCAACAAAGACAAGCAGTCATGGATTTCCTCTCCGGTGAATTAATGAACGCAGCACCATTTCAGCCTTTCGAGAAGCGCTGAAATCTCGACTAGAGTGAGGCTACATATTGTAAAGGTCCTTCACCTGCAAAGTAGTGCAGTTTCCGTGGATGCGAGGGGAAGGACGGGTGAGGTGATTATATGTCGAACATCCAAATTCGCCCACCGCAAGGGCGGATAAAATCACTGGTCAGCAACTGCTAGAGTCATATGCGAATACCTCTCATCGGCTGCTCGATCTACTTTGGATAATTCATTCAACAAACCTTCCTTTTGATCAACTTCCGGACACCGTCCAATCGCCTGCACACCAAATGCAGTCTGCGTCGCAGCTTTTTAAGTTCCTCAGAAATTAATCGCTAACTTGGAGTAGATCAGTCTAAAAATTATGGACTAAGATTTAAATTCGATATAAATACTTGGGCCGAGGTCCACTAGCCACAACGGAATAATCACGTAATATCCATAAGCCGCCAACGGGCAGCCAGTAGTGTATGCATAGGTCTGCATTAAAGTCCAGTTTTCAACCACTAAGGTCGCTCATTTCACGTTACTCGTAGTACATATACAACACAGTCTCATGAAGATGCTGCCTTCTGTGATTACAATTAAACCAAGTTCTCTAGTGCAAAGATTTCACTTTTTCTCTATCTTCTTAAGAGAAGCTTTAGAAAAGTGGACTTCTTAATGCAGGATTGGCAGATCGACAGTACTTGTAGTTGATACGACTGCGATCATGCCTGATCTAGCCGGCCTCGATGATGTCACGAACGGTACCTCTCCACGCGTGACGATCCGCGGCAGCAGATCTGGACAGTACAACCCACTCCCTTCGCCAACGACGTAGACCGAATACTAAAGGTCCAAAAATCACCTCCATGTCTTGACCAACTGTGTCGAGCCAGGTTTTGAGCTGACCCCCTCTTCGACGCTTCCAATGGGACAACAGTGCCGGATCGAAGGCAGACACACTAAGCTCCTAAGGCCGACGACGAAGAGCATACCCGAACCACCTCAGTCGCCTTTCTTGGATGGCCTGAGTTATCCTTGCGATGTTGTTGCAGCGAGCGCGGACTGTCTCATTTGACAGACATACCAGTCCTAGTAAACAACCCCTGAAGGCTCAATGTGCAAGCATCGTGAGAATGTCTATGTGCGCATTGTGTACCAGACAATGAAATAAAAGCGCTTCGGGGGGCCGGAAAGCCGGCATGAGATTGCGCTTTGAAATAAGGCCTGCTCTGGTGGTCGAGACGTTAAAATTACTCACCGTCACGCTTTCGGTTGTATTTAGCCAGGGTCTCGACCACCGTGGGCGTGTAGGAAATTTGATCATCAATAAATTTGTTCTCCAGAATGTTTTCCAGAATGTTCACCGATCGCATCGAGGTTACAAGGGTCGTCAGTATGGCGAAAATACCCTTAAAAAGAGAATTAGCCCGGAAAAAATACATTTATTTTGAACAAAATCATGCACACTTGCTTACCGTAATAGTAAATATTAACAGAAATTCTAAAATGTATTTTCGATTAGGAAAATTTTTTCGAGTAGGCCTGTACTACTGAATATCGTGCTATATAATCCTAGGATGCTTCAGGCACGCCAGGACGTTGAATTGTGAATGAATTCCTTCACAAAACGACTACTTGAGTGATAAGAGTCTTTTAAATCGATCTTCGATGCCATTATAAATTCAAGCATGTTTTATGTAAAACATCAAAAGATGTTTGAACTCATTCGATAACAAGTCACGTCTTATTCAAATTTTGCACTTGAAGTAAGGGTATCTCTCAATTTTAATCGTTTCTGATTATAAGGCTTTTAAAGACGGTGCAATGTCCATCTCAGTAATATGGTGCCTGTCTGTTTATTAATGCTATTCATGAAATCCGCTTCTACTGTAACGTTTTATGAGCCTTGTATGATATCGTATTAATGGCACAGGGGAATACATGATTTTCCAGACATAGAAAGTATACTTTTTGCAGACGTAAAACCGCAAACGCAAGCTTAACAACAGGTTAACCTCGACACTTTTGTCAATTGAAGGATTTTTAAAAAAGTTAAAGATATCCTTTTTTGAGTAGAAAAGTTGAAGAGGACGTGATTGACTAACGAATGGGTAAAAGAAGGAATATATATGTTTATACTGTTTGTACAAGAGAAAATAGACAAGTGTCATGCTAATTAAGCAGTTGCTCCTTGCAGAGCGCGATCTTTACGATGGCCGAAAATAAATGCATTCAAAAGTCAACAGTTTGACGAGTCTGGAATACTTTGGGTTTATGCTTTATGATAATCAATATTACAGGCCCATTAAAACAATGTTTCTTAATCGGAAACGCATCACGTGTGATCGGTCGCTTACGGTAAATTCGTAAAAATTAGACGTCAACATATCTTATTGTTGATAAGAAGTAGAAGCCATCGCTGGAGCAAGGACTTTATTCGCCCAACGTTTCGGATTTTCACTTAAACCCATCATCAGAGACAGTGGCAGAAAGGGTGACTCGTGCACAGGAAGGTGCATTATTTAAAGGATGCAGTCGCCATGTTATCGCATACCTATGATAAATAGCCGCTTTCCCCTTCATTAAGAACTGTTGCCCGCTGTTGTGCTAATGGCTTGATGGCCGGCATGCAAGTTGCTAATTGTTGAAATCTCATAAACCGTCCTGGCGTGATGATTGCTCGGCCATCTGGCTCATCGGCCTGCGCGCTCCCCGAGTGGTCAATTACCTTGGCCAGCCTATGCCTCAGCACGGAATATGGAGTGGGGATGTCGTTGCACTTGTTGATAGACTGAGGTCCCGTAAACCATGACTTAAGCAACTCGCGGGACACGCGATTATCGCCCATCGACCGATCCATGGCAAGAGCCCAATAAACAGTCCGTGTCTGATGTGATGGCCTTCCAAAAGGGCACAATAAAGACGCTCCTCTCTGACCAATCGTATCGCCCAAAAACACTTCAGCCTTCGGCGCCTTGCATTTCTTACAACTGATTTAGACACCACGATCAATTTGTCAACACAATTCTTTGTTGGGGTCAGTGATATGGCCCCTTGGCAGGACACGTGGACAGAGAGAGCCCGTAATACGGTTTGCTGGGCGCCAAATTTCAGGAAAATTAGGCTTAGGTTTCAGGGTCGGGTTATGGTTAGGACTAGGGCTGCGGTTAGGTTTGGATTGGTGCTGGGATTAGGACACGGGGTTATTTACTCTCACTGTAATGTAGCGCACCGCCGCTTGTACTGCGGGAGGGGGCGTTCCATTTCCCCTATCCTGCGGAGGGGGCCATATGACGGATTCTGACCAAATTCTTTGACAGACTTGAAGGGTTGATTCTCCTGTCAGATAAGATCAAGATTCCATCTAATGCCGCTTAATTTGTGTTCCCAAAATATGGCGATCGTAGCCATTCAAATACTTCTGCGAACCTAATACGATGAAACGGAAAACAAGCCAAGGACACGAGCATAGCATCCAAGTCCTGAGGTTTGCTACCAAAACGTACCTTGCTTTAATGGAACAACCTATGGTCATATAAAATTTACGCCAGGGGGTTCGTCAAATTCGAGACTCAGAGCCGAGACAGCTCTGCAACGGTCGGAGTCGCTGGCATTCTGACGCCACAGACCACTATTTCGTACTCGGTATGTGAATGATACCTGCGTCGTTATCGAATGGGATTATGTGTTAGCACTCCATGGACGTCCAAACGCCGTCTTCTTGGACATATAATTTACGATGAAGGAGAAAGAAGTTGAACAGCTGATCTCTCCTGATGTCCTCGTCTGTAGCACATGTTGCAGTGACCTAAAAACCCAACTTTTCAGGAAAGCACCAACCACGACGCAAGTACTGAATTTCAACCGCCATTATCCTATCGACTGCGAACGCAGTTTCGTAAGAGTATCATATCGGTGAATTGAGATCCACTGCGGTAAAACCGAAGACACGGTTTGGAGGGCGCTCAGAGCGAATGGTTAAACGCAAACCTTCGTCAACCAGTACCTGTGCAAACAAGACGAGGGGTCAAATTGAATTGGCCGCAAATTTTGGCCACTTCAAGTTTATGTTGTCTGCAAACCGGAGGTTACCATTGGGGGTGCAGTCAGGTGACCGACAGACCCGTTGCGACGGCAGGAAGCGACCGGAGTCGTTAACCAGATCTGTTGCAAGTGCGGCTAAATCAACAAAGTGGGGGAAAGTGGAAGACTGCTCTGGACGCGAATGGTCAAACGCGCAGCAGCGGTGCCGAGGAATGACGCCAGCTTCCGCATCGCGGCTCACTCGGTCGGGACCTGGTCGATGAGGTCGAGGTGATAACCCTGCCGACTTTACCTGGTAGAGAAATTAGACAGACGGAGAGCCCATGGGTGATAATTACTTCGCGTGACGAGCTAAACTGTTTAGTCCATACCAGGCCACTCACCCTCGACGATGAAGTCAAGGTCATTGTCGTTTCGTGGGCGGTCGATTGAACAGTAATCACACAAATAAAAAGCAGCCTTGGTGGTTATGAGATCTCCAGATTCTGGCAACCGTGTGATGCAGGAGCAATTACGTCCCACAACCACTTTCCTCACCCTGTGTGTTGTCTATGCCCTGAGTCCAGACCTCAAATTCTTCGGGTCCGGGGCTTTGTCGTCTGGTTGCACCCAAAGGATCGGAAACGGACATTAAAGCCACCTTGGTCTCTATGTGTGTCACTTCTGTGGAATACCATCATGGGCCTTATATGCTTTAGGTGCAGTGTCGAGGAATTTATGCCAGCCGGGTGCTTTTTCAGCCGTTGCGGGAAAACAGACCAATCGTACTATCTTTGATTTAAAACCCGAGAAACGAGAAACAGTAAGTCATTACACAGAAATAAGTGCTGTGGCATTTCACATCGCTGAAAATAATGCAGACAATAATTCGCTTTTGTTTTAATATGGTGACACGGGCGTCTCCCCTGTCTACTGGCAGGGGTTTCCATCCCAATTTGTGGCCGAACGGGTTGACAGCCGCCATCGGGTAGACGTCCGCCGAGCATTCCGTGTCCTTCATAAAGTGTCGGCGAGCCATTACAAGTTCCTGCGTCAGCGGATACTTGCGACGGTAGAGGCAGTGGCCATATGTCTCACCAACCCAATTTTATGGCTCATAAAGCGTTTATACAGGCCTTAAGGCCACACTGACCGAAGACGGGCCAAGTATGTCTGCTCATACCTTCTGCCACGTCACGTTATTGTGACGAAGCGAAGACGTAGTTAATTGTCAGACCCCCCCCCCTCTCCTCTCTAGGCCCCTAACAGAACTAGACAATAATTCCTGACCTCTGAACTCCCATACTCACTACTTATTGGCTATTTAAAGTTCTGTTACTCTACATTCCCTAATGTTACTGTGTAGGGGTGATGAGGAATAGTCAAAAGCGTACGTTTTCCGAAATCGAATTCTTAACTGGTTACGTGGGTATCATGGCTAAGCTCTAGGCAAGATCTTATTTCGTAGATGTACCTGGTAAAGGCTTAGAGTTAGGGGGTAGGGTTGGGGTTAGAGGTCAAGGTTGGGATTGGGGCTTGTCTACCGCAGGTAGGGCCACGAAATAAGATTCGACCGAGCTTTACTTCCAATTGGCATGCAGGAAAATTTGCAATTTTACTCAGTGGCCTAATGGAAGCGAACAGACCCCTGTATATACAGTCCATGTATCACCAAGAATGAGATCCATTGCTGGAACGTCAACCAATTACGAAGCTGAAGTATACATTACGAGTCTCAATACTGTGTGACTTATCGTTAATTTCCATCTTGATATGCGAATAGTCGCTTTCAGCAGACGATCGTCTTACACCTCAGACGAAATTCTTCTTCTGTCTGCAGCAAACTCCTTTAAAATTATTTTTACTTCAAGAAATAAACAGATTGCATAACTATATGCAGGAAAGGTAGTGAAACCTAAAAAAACTTATTGCAAACTGTTTAAAAACAACACGATGGCATATTCTCAGCCAACACAAATTGATTTGTGTCATATCAAACCGATCTGGGCGGCCGGAGAGAATCCAAACAAAAAATCGATAGACTTCGTTTGGCGCCGAGTTCGTAACGCAAGTCAACCGACAGTGGCCAATAGCTGGCGCTTGCTTGTTTCTACCCCGTATTCAAACCAGACGAGACATAGTCACGTCCTTTTTTACATGAGCGACACGGCCATGTACACCAGTTCTAGATGTTGTAGTGCAGAGCGACAATTTATGAGGAGGCAATCGGTAGATAATGTCTATTCTGGCTGAATAATTCACGGCAACTACTGAACACAAAATAAATCAGGACAAACTGCCCTCTGTGCCATAGCCAACTCCGTAGTCGAGCCTGTTAATTAGAATATGTCCTTGTTTTATTGGGAAGGTAGATAAAAATCCTTTTTTGTCAAAGGATATCTAAACGCTGCAGTTGTTGTTCAGTGAGTTTCGGAGGGCACTGTGATTGGCTAAAACCACACTCTACGTGACTTCAATGATGTCCTTAGGTACCTAAATAACCTTTTGTTGATGATGTTGCAATTAAAAGGGTATTAAGCCCAAATGGAGCGGTTTTCTGTTAGAGAGAAGGGAATTTAACCATTTTCTCCCAACAGTAGCAAATCGAAAAAAACGAGAAAGAAACAGCACTCACCACCATCGCCCCACTGAAGACCATAAAGATGAAGTTGTGGAACATCCTGCAAATAAAGAAAAAGATAAGCAAGTTTACGAGCTGTACACCTAGGTAAAAATAGACATGGTAGGGGGGAGTTAGGCACCTCCTCCTCCTCCTCCTCCCCCTCCTCCTCCTCCTCCCCCTCCTCCTCCTCCTTCTCCTCCTCGTCCGCTGCATGAGAAAAGAGGAGATACTGTGTCGGGTATAGTTTACCGTCTCACATGCACAAAATCAAATTTATCCAACGTGGTGTTACTGGCGATGTTGCTGAGCATGCGATGGTCTTTGTCGCCAGTTTCGACAAGTATGGAAGAAGCACTGGGGAGCTCTACTGCACAGGACCCGGCGGTTGCAGTACTGCAGGCTGTAATGCAGGTGAAGAAGAAGAGTCGAGCACCGGAACATTTTGTTGATTGTCCTGATCTTTCAGAATCGTGCAGGAGTCCATCGCCAGAGGTAGTAGCAGCAACAGAACAAGCGACAGTTATAAAGCATGTAGGCCAATCATCGATCGACGGCGCAAGACTGGAGGTGATTACGCAGGGCTCTGTACGCCGGCGCCAGATCGATAAATCGATTTACCGGGTTATCATCCGAGGCCCAGGCTTCAATCAATCCTCGGCCTGTTTTGTTTCCGGCGTGGGCGATTATTTTGATGGCTGCGAAGTTAAACTCGTGACCCACTTCGCGGCCACTTGTGATAATGCGTCGCCTCGTCGCACAGCCAGTTTATGTTCGTGTATGCGCGATCCCAGCAAGCATCCAGTCTGGCCTGTCTAGGTACAAGGACAGTTTTGACACGGGATGTGGTACACCACTCCAGATTGCTCTTCAGGCTTTAACCGGTCTTTGATTTTCATGACCCTACTGCGCATGGTGGTTTTGGGACGGTGTGCAATTCTAACACCTGCCTCCGCAGCAATGCGCCCGGTCGCTTTTGAAGCACCCTTGATGTAGGGCAGAGAATGCCATATGGTTGGTGGTGTTGATGTTCGATTCCTCTGGTGGCGACCGCGTAGGCAGCGGCTTATGCATACACCTGGAACTCGAAATTTCGTCTTGATTCGTGTAATGCAGGTGTTAACCACAAACGACGGATTACTAGCGGGAGACCAAAAGTAGAGCTCGTCAAAGAAGCAGATTCCTAGAAGGAATTTATGGAGGCAATATTACTGTGGTTTAATCGATGGACTAGTCGTATAATTAATAACAACTTTTCTTTACCCTTCAACAATAAGCGACCGTTGCATGTGATGGCTTCCAGAGCGGTCCACGTGACGGTCCCACCAGAGGTGGCTTACTCACTCTCTCCTCCATCATCCAGTACGTTCCGATGGCAAAGCTAAGTCAAAACGACCGAAGCTGGGCGCAGACCCAGTGGCTGACAGGGCCAGCCAGTCCGTATGTGCGTTCCACACACGACCTGGCCCGGATTTCAAAGGTACCAGTTCACGAATGAATGGCACAGTAAATCAGGTGGTACCGACAAAGACAAGGGAGACCGGAATGGCCATTTCTGGCTTATTAGCCGTCATCAGCCAGTCATACCCAACCCCAAGTGTGCATCACTTGAGATTCGAACACGGGATCTTTGGTCATGGAGTTGAACGCTCTACCACTGAGCCACGGGCCCGTTTTCCTGTCGGTTGTGATCGGGAATATTAGTTATGATAGTGGTCGCTCACCGATCAGGTTACGGAACATGCTCGTTCCGTTGTGCCTTGGGTATGACTGGCTGATGACGGCTTATAAGCCAGAAATGGCCATTCCGGTGTCCGTTGTCTTTGTCGGTACCACCTGATTTACATCATTCTACTAATCGCTGTGCGACTGCCTGCGAGGGTTCTAGTATGAGCCCCAAGGCACAACGGAACGAGCATGTTCCGTAACCTGATCGGTGGGCGCCCACTATCAGAATGGCACAGTGCAAGAAGGAGAGATTAGTGGCGCGGACCAGCAATGAGACGGTAAGACAGGGAGAGAATTACTGGAGGCCTGAATGTCTGACACCAACAGACACGTTGACACACACTCCGTTCCCGCAGCCTAGTGGCGAGACCTAATTTCCAGCCAAGGGTGCACGCAGCCACGCCGCCGTGAGACGGCGTAGACTCAGCCCTGTCGCAACACCACCCCCTCCCCACTCCTACCCCCCCATCTTCATGGCTTGACTACAAAAACTGCTCATTTGATGCCGCATTCCCACAGTCTCCGACGCTGGCCTCCTGTACGAGACCGAAAGCTCAAACTAATACACGTATTGTCCCAGCGATCGTGTGTTCATCTTCTTTACAACAAAAAACCTAGAACTCGCATATTCGCTTCCATCCGAGACTAATGAGCTATCAGCGGTCAGTACTGATGGCCGAAGTGGCAGACATACCAACAAGCGCAAACCAAAAGCCTTATAGTGTGTGTGGTGAGATGAGGCGGGAATGCTAAACCCCTCGTGTCGCGTTTTTAAACTCCGAAAGATCGACCGCCAGTACCGACGATGTCCACCAGAGCAGGGTGGGTCCAGGGACGGTAACTTGAGCGCGAATTTGTTTATAATGATAGTAGATTTGCACTGCATCCACTACCCTCGCTCTTCCTCCGTCCCCCCTTGGCCCGGTGTCGAGACGGAGTCAGGAAGACCGGAAGCGAGATCAGGTACAGGCGTGCCAGACCCTGCTCCCACGTGACCCATTGTAGGGGACTGTCCTTAAACTCCGTTATGAAGACAAACATGGGTCTACGTTTGAACTCACTGTTGTGTCAAGCGTTCCGTCTCGGTTCAGTGAGCCTCATCAGATGGCTCGGCCGTATAAAAGGTAATTTCATCCACAAAGTAACCAGTTTAAAATGCAGCTCATCTCACAGAAAAGAACGTATGAATGTTTGATAGCCTGTTGCATTCTTGAAATACCCAGAGTTGTCTAGCGGCCTGAAACAACTCCATTGTCGTGGGAACTCATAGAGCTAGAAGCGCACGTTTAACGGATATAAAGCGACCCGCGAAGACTGAAGGCAGTTTAAAAACTGCCCTCTTAAAGTTCGACAAGATGCCCATTCAATATTTAAACGTTGGAGAAGGTTTTGTGCAAGTCCAAAACCGAGCAAAATCAGAGTGGGGGGAGAGAGTGCTGCCAAAAATGGCTATCAATAGGCCATGCTACCCCACAATCTGCGGACAAAATTACGCACTGGAGGAACAAGCAGTAGATAGCAGTGAGTCGAGACCTCGGACAAGTACGAAGTCCGCTGGGAGGGAAAGAGTATTTTAACTCTCTGGTAGCTCTAAATACTTGAGTGCAGTCGCTCACAGCCGACTCCAACCGGTGCACAAGTTTTATCGGACCTGGGGAATAGATGGCGGTGTCAGGAAAAGCTCAGGACGACTAATTAGCTACGTCTCCGATTCCGATGTTAATATGAGCAGTGTTCAGCTGGTCAAGATGCAACACTCCGGCTTGATTAAACACCCACAAAAGTACCAACGCTACCGAATTATATGTAAGACAAAATGCCAGAAACTTTTATGTTCACTTAAAGGGTCAGGCCCTTGAAAGAAGGAAAGGAATTAAGAGAGAGAGAGAGAGAGAGAGAGAGAGAGAGAGAGAGAGAGAGAGAGAGAGAGAGAGAGAGAGAGAGATGACTGTGGTAAATGGGCGCTCTCCGATCGAACTACGGAACTCACATGTCCAGTCGCACCTTGGGACACTCTGTCGAGCCCCAGAAGACAAGCGTGACTGGAATGGCCATTTCTAGCTTATTAGCCGTCGTCAGTCAGCCACTCCTAACCTGGAGGTGTGCAACCACTGGGGCTCGATCCCGCGACCTGTTGGTTAGAAGTCCAACGCCTCTAACCACGTCGCCACGGGTTCGTTGTCCTATCGGTTGCAATTGGTGAGCGCCCCTGTACCACTGCATATATCCGATCGAAACCGACAGGACAACGAGCCCGTGGCTCAATGGCTAGGATGTTGGACTTTTAACCAAAAGGCCGCGGGATGGAGCCTTAGATGTTGCATACTTCGGAGTTGGGTATGGCAGGCTGACGACAGCCAACAGGCCAGAAATGACCATTCAGGCCTCCCTTGTCAGTAATGCTATTCTGCCTTAAAAGGACTATGTAGTGAGAGTCAGTGACAGTCTTCAAACAGGAGCAGTTAAACCGGGGGGTCAGTAGGTTTTGGCGTTCAACGCTCTCCCACATAGCAACGGGGTCAACGCATAGAGGCAGTAATCGGCAGTATCCAGACTCACACAGAGGAGGCGTTCACTAACCTAACCGGAACGTGCTGTCTTTGTTTTGGAGCTCCATACTAGAAGAAACGTTACCATCGTAGCCGTAGAACTTTGATTTTTAATTGTTCTTCGCTGTAAAACCGTCAATAAGAACCATAACCCTCTGCTCCAGGGCCACAGTCGAAAGCACGCATTATACTTAACTGGCATTTAAGGTCGTCCTTCATGACTACAAGCAAAATTACCACAAACAGCAAGACTTATTTCGGAGTTTTAAGCTAAAAAGAAAAACAGCGCTTTACTAATACCTATGCGACTAACTATTCACTGCCTACATTCCATCCGTCGTGATCTGTGTCATATTTAGACTATGAATATTCTTTTCTAAGTCTGCCTATTTCTCGGTTAATCCGGTTGTAATCCGGAAATGTCAGGGCCTCGTACACTCTCGAACGCTTTTAAAGGCAGGGGCGGCACCCGTCTTGAGGGTTCTCCGTGCACGTGGACAGCTGTCTCGCCAGAAGCCAGGCTTTTTGGACGCCGGGAGTCGTTATTCTGATCTGGTGCAGTTGAGGACAAAGCAACTGCGTCGGAGAAACTGGAAGACAGCTCCGAATAAGAATGGCCGAACCCGCTGCAGTGGTGCTGAGAAATTACGCCAGCTCTCAAGTTGCGGCTCATTCGACGAGAGCCGGCCACACATTCAAATTCGACGAGGCCGAAACTCTCGCAAGAGGTGACAACCGCGTGAACCGGGAGCCGCTTGACTCATGGTTTACTGGCCCCCAGTCCATTAACAAGTGCAATTATCTTCCCGTTCCATAATCGGTGCTGAGCATTCGTCTAGGCGGAGTAATTGGCCACACGGGAAGCATACAGGTGAACACTTTTCCCAACATCAGGGTCAGTGCGTCAGATGGTCGAGCAATCATGATGCCTTCGTGATGCCTTTGTCAGTGCATGGAAAGTGCGCGCAATTTCACAGCTGTTATGGCCATTTTCACAATGCGAACGCCGTCCAAACAGCGGCCAAGGCCTCTGACTGATCGAGATCAAAGGCGAGCCGACGTTAAGGCCGAAAAAGTGCTTGTAAAGCCAGCAGTGTTGGTTGTCGACCCTTTCTCAGCCTGTATTTAAGTCCTGCAGGGTTGACAGTAGAAAAGTAACCTAAAATGCCAGGAAAGTGCTGTATTTGCCTCGAGTTTACATGTTTCAACTTCTTCAAAGTCGATCCAGGCGTTACCGAGTCTGCTCACCTAAGCGTACATAAGGTCGATATGGACGAACGGCAGGTCGCATGTGTGCACATTTGTGTCTAGCATGCTTCAGACGAAGGTTCACGTAAGGTCAACCACTGCGACCAATCCTATTGCTGATCGGCTGACAGATTCGATCGAGCCAGTGGTTGCATGCGGGAGGAAGGTGAGAGGGAGGTTGGGACCATTAAACACCCGGTCCCCTCACTAAAATCAATCTGACGTGCTGAAACTGTGGCAACTTGTGAAGTTGTCAACTAACGGACGAAATAGACCTTCCTTTGAAAAGGGGTCACTCAAAGGATGGTCCTCAAGCAGTGGTGGTCAAATACCTCCAGTTTTTGCTCGTCCTCCACGCGCACAGCCCAGCATTCGGAACCACAGAGTAGGACAGACCGGACAGATGCACGGTACACGCGAATCTTAGTGCTGTGCGAGTCTGGCGCCAGGGCGTGCGTGGCACGTAAAGATGGACCGTTTCTCCTTGTCGGCCGCTGCACTCACATCCGTCTCCAGTCGCCTTCACTTCCCCTTGTCCTCACATTATAGTAAATGTTAAAGAAAAGAATAGGGCAACGCAAATGCTGGTGGTGGTGGTGGTGGTGGTGGCGAGCAGCAGGAAGGGGATGCGACGATAGAAAGCCCCCTTACTCCGTCTGGCAGGGGCATGTGTGCCTGATAGGCAGCGTGACAGTTTGGCACTCGCAAGCATGGACGTCCAATGCGTGGTAAGCGCAGTAGATGCAGAACCGGCAACTGCCGAGTGAACTAGTTTGTTGTGGGACGCATTTGCTCGGCGTCTGCTGCGCTTTCTCCTTCCCCACCAATCACGCTCCGATGGCAAGGTCGTATCAAGAAGGCGTAATGGCTTATAAAACCAAACGGTCTGCCCACGCGTGCCACACACAACCTGACTCCGTACAAGTGACCGAAATTTCACAGAAGCAGGAGGCTGGGATCTCAGGTTCGTGAGATTGCCATAGGGGCCACATTAAGAAGGAGCCGCCGCGCTTGGGCCCCTGTCCGCGGGCCAGTCGTTCCCCACAGTGCAGACCGCGAAGACAGAGTTTTATAATCAGTTGGTGGCCCTCCAAGGCACAGATTTTAGCGCACCGTGATGGGTTCAAGCGCGTCAGATCTTTCTATAGTGAGAACTGAGCTGGTGTGTCGTGAGGATGGATTATCCAGTGTCGGGTCCACTGTCTCTTCCCTCTCCCCTGCACCGGTCGACCGTACGGCAATAGTGCGATCGATCCGGGTAGTAAAGAAGACACAACTTTCCCACTACCTGAAACTTACTTAGCAACGAACTTGATCCACAAGGTGTACGCTGTCGACTCGCGAGTGGGAAGTTTTCCTCCAAAATCTAAACATTTATGGATCAGGGTGGTGATGACAGAGATTTGGGGGGAGGGGGGGGCCTGATACAGAACTGTTGCGGGCTTATTCTGCCGTAATTCAGCCAACAGCAACCCTGACCACTTTACGGCAACAGAAACGAATACGCGAATGCGCAGACGGGATCTATGAGATCGGTCGTAAGAACTTGCTCGAAACAAAGTTCGTCAGCGCCTCGCCACCGGGCATTGTCTGTCGATGCAGACTGGGTATTTATTCATACAGGATCCACTCACACCGATCAACTGGCTTCACGAAGTAAACAAGATCCATTTGCCTGATATAATGATGGTCAGAGTCACGGTTCGTTGAATGACGGCAGAATAAGTACGACACAGTGGTCTACCAATCCATCCGCATCTCCGACGACATCTCCACTATCATCCATTGTTTGAGCGGTGGGGTGGTCGTTCGTTTTTGGGCTCTGCCACCCACTTGGAACTTCCTTACAACTGGAAGCCAACTAATAGATGCGCAGAATAGCAGTACTAGCAAAGACAAGGGAGACTGGACTGTGCGGCTGCTGGCGGAGCCTGTGGCGAAAGAACCCCAAAGCACAACGGGACGAGTGAGTTCCCTAACGCAATCGGAGCGCGCCCCTCTACTATTGACGGATGTGCGCTTGCTTCTGCATGTGTCTCTAAATCAATCAGGGCGTGTCATAGACTTGGCACTAGAAAGTTTAGACGACTTATCAAATTAACAGTTTGCTAATAGAAGCGAAGAGGCGAGTTCCAGGAAGTAGTCGCGAAGAAAGAGGCAAGATCGTTGGAACAAAAGCTTTATTAACCTGACGTTTCGGATTCTCGCTCGAACCCATCATCAGGGACGGAGTCAGATAAGGGTGGTAAATTGCCCAGGTGTTGTAATATCTATAGGATGTAGTTACTAGGCCGCTACATGCATATCGTAGTTGGCCGCTTCCGAGTGCATCAGGGCTCGACTGGCCAGGTGCTGAAACGTGCAGCTGCTATGCGCTTGTGTACCGGTCAAGACTATCGATTCCCACGCTCATCGCACGCAGTCGAGTTGTTGACGGCCGGATTTCGTCCTCCGCGTGGGCTCTTGGGCAATTTGGCTCGCCGATATTGACACCAGGAACAGTGGCCATTCGCGCGCTGTCCTCGTGGTTAATTACTTTACCTAGACAAAGTCTCAGCGCCGAATATGGAGAGGGGAGGTCATTGCGCTTGTTGACTGACTGAGGACCGCAACACCATGATTCGAGGAGTTCGCGGCTCACGGGGCTGTCATCTCTAGCAAGAATTTCTGCTTCGTCAAACCTGAATGTGTGGTTGGGTCCCGTAGAGTCGGCCGCGACTTGGGAGCTAGCGTCTTTCCTCCTCACTGCTTCTGCGTGCTCGGCCATACGCGTCCGCAGTAGTCTTCCGGTTTCCCCGACATAGTTGCTTTGCGCATAGCTGCAGCAGACACGATAAACGACTCCAGATGTTTCTCGCCGCGGCAATGGGTCTTTCGGCCTCATGATCTGGCGCCTTATGGTTGCCTCCGGTCTCTGTGTTACCCCGATTCCAAGGGGTGTGAGAAGACGGTTGACGACTTCTGAGACATTCTTCACGTACAGGAGAGATCGCCAAAATTTGGGGCCGGTTGTATTTCGTCTCTCGTCTCGTTTGCGTAGGCGCTGCTTGACGAAGTTGCGCGGGTAGCCATTGGCTTTGAATACACGTCGAGGGTATTGTAATTCAGCAACCTTGTCTTCCGGCTCACTGCAATGTGTCTCCACACGCTTGTATAGTGTCCTTACGCAACTGCGTTTTTGACTGATTGGGTGGTTGCTGTTGTAGTTCAGTACTTGCGTCGTGTTTATCGCCTTCCTGAATACTTTGGTTGTTAGGCCACCACAATCTTTGCGGCAGACGAGGACATCAAGAAAGACCAGCTGGTTGTCTTCCTCTGCCTCCATCGTGAATTGAATGTCCAGGAAGGCGACAAACACGACGCAAATTAACGGTAGGTCCCTGGTTAGTAGCATGTGGCAATTCCACATTGCTCCCCTGGTTACTGTTTAAAATTCGTTCTAACGTCTTTTCTGCCGTCCTGTCTTCAATACAAAACCCAGAGGGTGCTAAAGTAACAGCTATACCGTGTCGTTGAAAAGAGTTTCAAGTTTTACGGGTCTAGTAAGGCCGAGTTTCGAACAAAAGTGTAAGAACTGAATTATGGAAGAGAATGATGTGGTACCACTTACCTTGAAGTCGCCTCCAGCACGTCTACCTGCGAGCAAAAGCAGGCGTGACTTCAGCTTTTCATGTCCACCAATCAGAACGCAGTTACATCTGACCAGGTCCTATCCGTAAGCCGGCAGAATGACTCGCCGCGTTCCTATTGGCCAGTCGTTCCGGCGTGAATCAAGCGAGCGACCAAGCAAGCTTGAGCGTCCTGCAGTCGCCATTGTTGCCAAGATGCGACGAAGAGCCCGTAGCCTAAACTTCCTTCTATACGGCGTCGGAAGCAGGTTCTTTGGATGTTGCTTCTGCCTGTAGACCTATTCTGTGGCTTTTAGCATAAACAAGGTGTTATGACCCGCCCTGGTACGTGGAATTCACGTGGAGCATATGCGCATCCCGACTCTTGTCCCCAATACCAACGCGGCAGAAAAGGAGAACACGGCCAATCACGGAAAAGTGTATTAGGAAAAGTGAAAGTCAAATCTAACTGGAAAGTAACGCGTATTTATAACATCCGAATGGGGTTCGCCTGCATTCGGCCCAATCCACCTCGAGAAGAAGATTCTAGACGAGCTGATCGATAATTCGAATACACGGATCGATCAGGCTCGAGAGGACCAGCCAATAGCGAGGCACCACGATCATGCTGACAGCGCGCTAGAGGAAAACGCACGTAGCCTCCAGTGCTTTGCTGGCCCTTGTTTTTGGGTGCAGGCACTCCCAACACAATGGTTGTTGAACTACATGGCCTCTGCCATAGCCATCTGGTGTATTTTACTGAAAGCATCCAGTGCCTCTATAGATGGACCCGGATGTCCCTTCAGAAAGTGTTCACAAAACTCCTCACTACCTTCAATATGTAGGGACATTCGCGCAATATTTTCTGAAAACTCCAGTCTTCGTTTGCACTAGACAGAGAGAGAGAGTGAGAGCGCGCATGCTTTATCTAGAAATTACCATTTAAAGATTTGCCACAGATGTCCTCAAATCATTATGATTAGTAAACAAATCAACAGATGTCACGAAGCCGTATTGCTATTGTGGTTTCAGGTCTAATCTCGATTTCTGAATTTCAGCATCATTAACGATCCGATTTGACTAACTAGTGAAAATGATCGCGCAAACAAAGAAAATGAAACCAGTTTCCAACCACATTTAATTTAACAAAAAAACCGTGGTCTGTGCGTAGGTGGTTGTACTTGGTGCAATGACTGCCTGCTTATTCTCATTCAAATCGTTAAGTGATACAATTTCATGAACGGTGTTGATTTTTTGTGTGATAATTACTCGGCCGAATGATATTACCGACAAAGACAAGGGAGACTGGAATGGCTTATTAGCCGTGATCAGCCAGTCATACCCAAGCCCGATGTGTGGCACACCCGAGGCTCGAACTCCCGACCTGTTTGTTAGAAGTCCACGCCTCTAACCACTGAGCCACGAGCCCGTTTCCCTGTCGGTTTTTCGATCTGGAATATACAGTGGTAGTGGACGCTCATCGATCGTTCTTACGGAGCTCACTTGTTTTGTTGTACCTGATGGACTCTCTCTCGAGCCCAGCCAGCAGCCGCACAGGGCAACGGGCTCGTGGCGCAATGGTTAGAGGCGTGGACTTCTAACAAACGGGTCGTGAGTTCGAGCCTCGGATGTGTCGCACTTCGGGGTTGGTTGTGACTGGCTGACGACGGCTAATAAGCCAGAAATGACCATTCCAGTCTCTCTTGTCTTTGTCGGTAATATCATTCTGCCTATCTCATGCGCCGCTGCGCGGCTGCTGGTTTGGCTCGAGAGAATGCGTCCATAAGGCACAACGGAATAAGTGGGTTCCGTAAGAACGATCGATGAACGCTCACTACCAATTACTCGGCCATCTGGTCTGCTGATACTGTCACTGGATGCGATGTTCGACCACGCAACCCACGTGACTATTTGTCATGTCAGGGTAAATTCTCGGCGCTGGGTGTGGAGGAGGGAGGCCGCTGCGCTTGTTAATAGACTGATGACCGTATAACCGTGGTTCAGGCAGTTCGTGTCCCACGCGTCTGCCACCTCTCGCCAGAATTTAGACCTCGTCAAAATTGAAGATTTGACCGGATCTCATTGGATGACCCACGACTTCAGAGCTAACATCGTCCCCTTTTACTGCTGCCGCCGCCACTGCCGCCGCCGTTGCTGCTACTGCTGCATCCCCGGTCATCCGTGTCGCGAGAAAACTCTCACAGTTTGACGTAGTTATTACTTTCCTTCCTCCACCGAATGCGGATTTATAGGTCACACGTTGGAGCTACACAAGACTCGAACCCACGACCGAATTATGGTCATTTCAGTCTACTATGCCTATTTCAGCGTAGATCACAACCATGCACCAAAGAAATACAAAATTATTTTTACAGGCACTAGTACCAAAGTAAAAAAATCCGCAAAAAATTCCAGTGACGCCTTGACTCATACTGAAAGTTGTGGGCCATCGATGACAAGGGCGGTCTTCGAGAGATGCCACTTTTAGCCAACTTTTAGCTTTTTACAGTCGGGTGTGAGGTCCAAAAATTAAAAAAAAGTTTGAGAGACCCAGAAAGAAGAGTTGCTTATCAGACAATATCTCGTAAGGTGTCAATTTTCTCGGTCAGAGCGAAGTGAGTTGCCGTTTGATGCAGGCATGGAAAAGTCATCAGCGTTAGGCCAATCATAGGACCTTGAAGAAGGAGACACGATCGCTGAGACAAGAGCTTTATTAGCCTGACGTTTCGGATTCCTGCCCGAACCCATCATCAGAGACAAAAGCATATACCCATAAGACCAAATACATGCAGGTGTGACCATATAGTAGAGGGGTGAAAGGAACGAACTGGCCCAGCAGTGTGAGGTGCACCGATTTAGTCAACCGCTCAAGAACCGCCGATAACAACGCAATACGAAATTTTTTTTACAGCTTTTTTCGTCTAACCGCATGATATATTGTCGTCCTTATTCGGTGGTCGGAACAAGTTCCATCTTCTACATTTTATTCCTCATCTGCTGAAGTCTGAGGTGGAGTTTGTAAATAAATAATACTATTTTTCATGATATAACTTCACTGAAATCTCCAAATACACTTCTCACAAGGCAACGGGCAAGTAGAACTGATATAGCGCTATTATTTAAATAGTCTCAATTTTTGCGCATAATTGATACAGCAACATACGCCATTACATCAGCTTACTTTAGCCTTAGTCAAGTCGCAGAGCAAAGCTAATTACTCCGAACTAGAAACGAATTTGTGCCTTTGTTCCACTAGACTGCAGAAAATTATTCCTTCATGACTAACCAAATTGGTTTTACAAATAATTATCTCGCCGCTATTTGGTCCTAGTTTGTTTTTCACAATTTATGATTTGATCTGTCACCAACATACGAAATAATCCCAACTGGGACGAATACACCAAGTTCATTAAAATGTTCCCGAACATGCGTTTATATTAGGGGTACGTCATCAAAACCAATAACTTGCTTTATTCAAACTTGTGATTGTCTATTTTCCTAACATCGAAATCTCCGTCAGCAGGCATCACCGTGGCAGGTGTTGCGTACCTCGAGGTTGGAAATGACGGGCTGACGACGGCTTATTAGCCAGAAATGCCCATTCCCGTCTCCCTTGCCTTTGTTGGTAAAGCTACTCTGTCAGGCATCAGTGTGTCCGCCAGTGTCCGATTTCGTCATACCTTGAGTACACAACAATAAACATTTGTTTACACTGCGAAAAAGGCTTATGGATTCCACGTGTGGCAGACAGACAGCCCCGTTTTCGTAATAATTGAGATAAACGCAGGCGCGATGTTGGCCAAATGGCAAATCGCGGAAGGGTGAAGATGGTGATTATGACGATGATGATAATGGTAGTGGTGGTGGCGGCGGCGGCGGCGGCGGCGGCGGCGGCAGCTCGGGAGACTGGTCTTCCGTTTATGCTCCCCAAAATTGTGGGTCAGCTATATCGACGACACATTTGTCGTATTCAAGTGGAATGACGTTCAGGACTTCAAGGTCTCATGGAGCTCAATATTCTCCAGCATTCAATTTGCAGTAGTTGTGGTGGATGGATGGATTGATGGATGGATGGATGGATCGTGGTGTTGGAGGGATCCGGAAAGGTGTGCAAGAAGGCCAAGATGGCAAAGAAGATGATGAAAATAAAAAGTCGGTGGGACTGACTTATGTGGCCCCTTAAACAGGCCATGGAAATAGGCGTGCACCACCCAAGTAATAAAGATGAAACTGCGCGTAATTCGGTAAAGGGAAAAGCATTCCTCTGTCCTAACCCAAAACAATAATCCTAATGGAAAACTAAACCGTTACCCTAACCCTCACCCTCACCCTTCCCTTAACCTTAGCTCTGCCAGTAACACTGGCCCCTATCTTAACCCTAAACTTAATCTTGACGTCAAAAACTACCAAATCCCAGACTTTAATCTCTATATTGTGTATATCGTTCTTTTTTCTAATTTTTGC